CGCTACTTTGACCCAAAGATGCTGCGGGGTAGCGAGAGGTAGGACCAGAATCAGCAACTGCCTTAACAGACGAACAGAAACAGACGAGCGCTGAGCAGACTGTCTCATCATCTCACTCACTTGTTTTTCAGCTCCATTCCCAGGAACAAAAATCCATTTCAGGAGGTACGTTTAGTGTCTGGAACAATGATTTAGTCCTTTCATTTCCAGAACTCAGAAAGTCAGATTTAGAGAAAAGGGTCAGTTAGATGGTAAATCATCTCCATCAATGTTATTTTAAAGTTAGTAGCATATTACAGAAAATCAGTACAGATCAGAATTATTGATTGTCTATAGTTTGATCCTGTTTTAGTGTAAACTTTGGACACAACTGATTACAACCCTCTGATGCTGACTGTTTTATCCTTTTTGCTGTACTTAAACATGAGCTGTTTGGTGTTGTGCTGTATGTGTTGGATGTTCTCATGTGTTGGATGTGTTGGATGTGCTCATGTGTTGGATGTGTTGGATGTGTTGGATGTGCTGGATGTGTTGGATGTGCTCATGTGTTGGATGTTCTCATGTGTTGGATGTGCTCATGTGTTGGATGTGTTGGATGTGTTGGATGTGCTGGATGTGTTGGATGTGCTCATGTGTTGGATGTTCTCATGTGTTGGATGTGTTGGATGTGCTCATGTGTTGGATGTTCTCATGTGTTGGATGTGTTGGATGTGCTCATGTGTTGGATGTGTTGGATGTGTTGGATGTGCTCATGTGTTGGATGTGCTCATGTGTTGGATGTGTTGGATGTGTTGGATGTGTTGGATGTGCTGGATGTGTTGGATGTGCTCATGTGTTGGATGTTCTCATGTGTTGGATGTGTTGGATGTGCTCATGTGTTGGATGTTCTCATGTGTTGGATGTGTTGGATGTGCTCATGTGTTGGATGTTCTCATGTGTTGGATGTGTTGGATGTGCTCATGTGTTGGATGTGTTGGATGTGTTGATGTGTTGGATGTGCTCATGTGTTGGATGTGTTGGATGTGTTGGATGTGCTGGATGTGTTGGATGTGCTCATGTGTTGGATGTTCTCATGTGTTGGATGTGTTGGATGTGCTCATGTGTTGGATGTTCTCATGTGTTGGATGTGTTGGATGTGCTCATGTGTTGGATGTTCTCATGTGTTGGATGTGCTCATGTGTTGGATGTGCTCATGTGTTGGATGTGTTGGATGTGTTGGATGTGCTCATGTGTTGGATGTTCTCATGTGTTGGATGTGTTGGATGTGTTGGATGTGCTCATGTGTTGGATGTGCTCATGTGTTGGATGTGTTGGATGTGTTGGATGTGCTGGATGTGTTGGATGTTCTCATGTGTTGGATGTGTTGGATGTGCTCATGTGTTGGATGTGCTCATGTGTTGGATGTGCTCATGTGTTGGATGTGCTCATGTGTTGGATGTGTTGGATGTGCTGGATGTGTTGGATGTGCTCATGTGTTGGATGTTCTCATGTGTTGGATGTGTTGGATGTGCTCATGTGTTGGATGTTCTCATGTGTTGGATGTGTTGGATGTGCTCATGTGTTGGATGTTCTCATGTGTTGGATGTGTTGGATGTGTTGGATGTGCTCATGTGTTGGATGTGCTCATGTGTTGGATGTGTTGGATGTGCTCATGTGTTGGATGTTCTCATGTGTTGGATGTGTTGGATGTTCTCATGTGTTGGATGTGTTGGATGTGCTCATGTGTTGGATGTTCTCATGTGTTGGATGTGTTGGATGTGCTCATGTGTTGGATGTGTTGGATGTGTTGGATGTGCTCATGTGTTGGATGTGCTCATGTGTTGGATGTGCTCATGTGTTGGATGTGTTGGATGTGTTCATGTGTTGGATGTGCTCATGTGTTGGATGTGCTCATGTGTTGGATGTGCTCATGTGTTGGATGTGTTGGATGTGCTGATGTGTTGGATGTGCTCATGTGTTGGATGTTCTCATGTGTTGGATGTGTTGGATGTGCTCATGTTTGGATGTTCTCATGTGTTGGATGTGTTGGATGTGCTCATGTGTTGGATGTTCTCATGTGTTGGATGTGTTGGATGTGTTGGATGTGCTCATGTGTTGGATGTGCTCATGTGTTGGATGTGTTGGATGTGCTCATGTGTTGGATGTGTTGGATGTGCTCATGTGTTGGATGTTCTCATGTGTTGGATGTGTTGGATGTTCTCATGTGTTGGATGTGTTGGATGTTCTCATGTGTTGGATGTTCTCATGTGTTGGATGTGTTGGATGTTCTCATGTGTTGGATGTTCTCATGTGTTGGATGTGTTGGATGTTCTCATGTGTTGGATGTGTTGGATGTTCTCATGTGTTGGATGTTCTCATGTGTTGGATGTGTTGGATGTGCTCATGTGTTGGATGTTCTCATGTGTTGGATGTGTTGGATGTTCTCATGTGTTGGATGTGTTGGATGTTCTCATGTGTTGGATGTGTTGGATGTGCTCATGTGTTGGATGTTCTCATGTGTTGGATGTGTTGGATGTTCTCATGTGTTGGATGTGTTGGATGTGCTCATGTGTTGGATGTGCTCATGTGTTGGATGTTCTCATGTGTTGGATGTTCTCATGTGTTGGATGTTCTCATGTGTTGGATGTTCTCATGTGTTGGATGTGTTGGATGTTCTCATGTGTTGGATGTTCTCATGTGTTGGATGTTCTCATGTGTTGGATGTTCTCATGTGTTGGATGTTCTCATGTGTTGGATGTGCTCATGTGTTGGATGTTCTCATGTGTTGGATGTGTTGGATGTTCTCATGTGTTGGATGTTCTCATGTGTTGGATGTGTTGGATGTTCTCATGTGTTGGATGTGCTCATGTGTTGGATGTTCTCATGTGTTGGATGTGTTGGATGTTCTCATGTGTTGGATGTGTTGGATGTTCTCATGTGTTGGATGTTCTCATGTGTTGGATGTGTTGGATGTGCTCATGTGTTGGATGTGCTCATGTGTTGGATGTGTTGGATGTGCTCATGTGTTGGATGTGTTGGATGTGCTCATGTGTTGGATGTTCTCATGTGTTGGATGTGTTGGATGTGCTCATGTGTTGGATGTGTTGGATGTGCTCATGTGTTGGATGTGCTCATGTGTTGGATGTTCTCATGTGTTGGATGTGCTCATGTGTTGGATGTTCTCATGTGTTGGATGTGTTGGATGTGCTCATGTGTTGGATGTGTTGGATGTTCTCATGTGTTGGATGTTCTCATGTGTTGGATGTTCTCATGTGTTGGATGTTCTCATGTGTTGGATGTTCTCATGTGTTGGATGTTCTCATGTGTTGGATGTTCTCATGTGTTGGATGTGTTGGATGTGCTCATGTGTTGGATGTTCTCATGTGTTGGATGTGCTCATGTGTTGGATGTGCTCATGTGTTGGATGTGTTGGATGTGCTCATGTGTTGGATGTTCTCATGTGTTGGATGTGTTGGATGTGCTCATGTGTTGGATGTTCTCATGTGTTGGATGTGTTGGATGTGCTCATGTGTTGGATGTGTTGGATGTTCTCATGTGTTGGATGTTCTCATGTGTTGGATGTGCTCATGTGTTGTTTTCCTCTGTGCCTCAGTGAGATCTTGTGTGTTTCAGGCCATCGTCTTTGTGGTTGGAGGAGGAAACTACATCGAGTACCAGAACCTGGTGGACTATGCTAAGGTTAGCCATGTTAGCCGCATTAGCAGAGCTAAGATTCTTGTTTAACAAAATTAGTGTTTCGTGAAGCTAACGTTACAATCAACTATTTGTAGCTATTGACAATTAAAGTAGTTATTGTAGCTATCTACAATTAGCTGATTTGTCGTTTAAACATTCTCCATTAAAGCCATGTTGAAAACTTTCCACCAGCACAAGGAAACACATAATTAAAAATATAAATATGATTTCTATGATTTGACACAGAATGTCTAAATGGCCATTTCAGTGCAGAAACATATTTTCCATGACAACCATCTGGAAAAATCAAAACGTGGTTTCTGTGTATGTTTCTGTGGCTCCAGTTATGTATGATTCAACACCACCTTGGAAAATGGCCGCCATCTTTCAGTGGCTAATGTTTTGATTTATTTATTTTTGTAAAATAATTCCCTAGGAATATCTGTGCCAAGTTACATTCTTGTCCATAGTTACCTGCTGCGCTGGGAGCAAATCCTTATCACAGCTCTGTATGTCAGGTTATCAGTAGTTTCTGTAAGGGAAAGAAAAATAGTCGTCTCAGCAAAACCATACATGATGACTGGGCCAGAATTCCCAGAGAGTCAGAACCTGAAGATGATGAGGCTCCATTCCTGTCCAGGCTGGTTCCTCTTCTGCTACATTTTATCAGCTGTGATAAAAATGTTCAGGAAACTCTGTGGATTCGTTTCCAGTGTCAATGTTTTGCTTTCTAACCACTTAAAAATCCTCTGGGTCTTTTCTTATTTTTCAGTCGAAACCCGGGAGGAAGGTGGTTTATGGATGCAGTGAGCTCTTCAACGCAGCTCAGTTCATGAAGCAGGTCAGAACTAACACCTCTACCGTTCACCTACTGCATGACTGTGGTGTGTGTGTTGTTGCCCCCTGCTGACTGCCTCTTTCTTTTTTTTTCTCAGCTCTCTCAACTTGGACAGAAGTGACCAAAGCACCAATAAAACCGATCCTCCTGTTTCCTAGCTAACCTGTTTTATATCAGCTCTCTTCTGTAAATGGACTAAATATTTCTGTCTTTGTAAATCTGCTCCATCCACTCATGCCTAATAAACCTGAACAGTCTAAAGTCACTGCTGCTTCCGAGCCGTCAGAGTAAACCAGCAGTTTTTCTCCCAGCAGCAAACTGGACTCTGGCTTTTAGGGTGGAAAAGGTAAAAACCAGAAACTTATTGAATCATTTCACAGAAATGAGTAAATACACAATCAGCAAGGAAAACAAAAACTTCTGGAACTTTAGAGTTCTGCCTTTAGTGCAGTAATAGTCTCCACACAAGAAGTGAAGCAGCAAACTGTACAGGTACAACATTTATTACTCATAATAGACATTTGATATACTTTAACAACTGCTGTATTCTGCTCTGTGGTACAGTTCTGAAAAACGGTTCAGTTTATAAAAAAAACAACCTCTAAACTGCATTTTTCTTGTTTTCATGGAAAGACTACAAAAAATAGTTTATTGGATTAACCATGCTTCAGACACACAGAGTTAAAAAGTTGATCTTAGTCTTATTTAAAACAAAAGCATTTATTTGGACTTGTGATCAACCAGAAGCCACTCAGGTTAGGAACTCTTCAAACAAACAAAAAGTCAAACTAAAACTGTGCATCAGAACAAAGCACAACAATGAAGTCACATCCTAAAAGATGGCTACTCAAAGACCACTTTTCCTAGGAGCTCCAATGGGCTGCTTTCTGCTAAAACACACTCTAGATGTGTGTGTGTGTGTGAGGTCAGTAACATCTGCAGAAACACACACAGGAGCCAAACACTGACGGAGGTGATGTGAGGACGAGGAGTCCGTCGGCCCTGAAGAACCACAGCTGAGCGGGTCACTAAACGTCTCATCACTGGAAAACGACTTCAGTCGGATCAGCGACACCAGAAATAAAGACTCAGTGGAACAGAGCAGGAGGTCCAAACCTCTAAATGTAATCATAGGCCAAGAAACAAAATAAACACTACAATCCAACAAATAAAGTGGTCAGATCCCTCCAGGATTTTACACGTTTGCTATATTATGACATCAGCTTTCCAATTCTTTGGGTTTTGGACAAATTTATCAAACAAGGATTTGTGTCCCTTTCAAAACGCTTGTCAATATTTAACCAAGTTTCATAAATAAAGATAATTTGGATTCAGCGTGAAGTAAAAGTCTCTGGATAGATGCGGTTCTGCTTATTATACAAGCTTGGTTGTAAAAATGAATATTTTATATTGCACTTTACATTTTCCATTGTAAGAAAATTATGTTTATTTTAACTTGATTAAAAAAAAAAAAAGAAGCTCAATCCACAGAAAAATCAATCCAAGGGCCACAAATGGCCCCCGGGCCACTCTTTGGACACCCCTGATGTCGACATTGGCTTTACAGTTTGGATCCATACTTCAGACATTTTTGATGTAAAAAGTCAGAAGCAATGTCATTCTATTATGAGATCAGATCAGACGTATTTATTTTTCCAGCTTTCAGAGGGAGAATTTCGGGAGAGCAGAGGGATTTAGTTTCTAAAGCTTTGACTCGACACTCATTTTATCCGATTTCTCTTTCTGAACTATGAGAACAACAGATTATTTCTGGCTCTGCTGCTGTAATCAGCCAGTGACACCAGTGTGAGAGCAGCTGCTGTCTAACAGCATAACATGGTGCTGACCTGTGTCTGTTCTTTACATACCTGATTTCAATAACATTTAGGTTCTTATTAAACCATCCATCCAGTGTGTTTCATCTGAACCGTTCTCATTTCCTCCGTGTGACTTCAGCTCTTTAATCTGTGGCAGTGAAGTTAGTCACCAGGCGACAGGACAGCTCCTCCGCTCCAGTAACAATATTTTTATAAAAAGGATTATAAAAACTAGACCTTTTTTTTTTCTTTCACACAAACAAAAATACTCCGCTTTAGAGGCGGGGCTGCGCTCTAAAGCGCTCTGACCCTCGTCAGATTTACGCGCCATCAGACATTTCACCAGCCATGATCGCTCGGCAGGTTTTTCCAACACATAAACTCACTCATGTTGGGTTTTTTTTTTTCCATTTCTTAATTTAAATTTCTTCAAAACTGTACAGCTGCTAAAACATTTTCCTGGCAACATCAGCACATTTAAATATTTTTCTTTTTTTTTTAAAAAAAGGAGAGAAATCAGAGATCAAACATCAGATGTTCACTTCAGTCCAGACTTTGTCTCTGTAGGTTTAAAGGAAAAATCCCCCGTTTGTCTGTCAGGCTCCGTGATTCTCAGGCTGAATGGAAAATAATTACCCAAACTGTTAGATATGAACATGAAACAAACCGGCTTTATTTGTCGATTAGTTCAGATCATGTAGAGCTTCTGCTTCTTTAGTGTCCTGATAGATGTTAGCACCCCCTGCTGGCTTCTCTACACACTGCTGATGCACTTTAACGTTTACCTTTGTGAAGGCAAATGTTCAGTCACAGATTACTGACAAAAGACAAAAAAGGATTTTTAGATTTTTTTTTCTCAGATAACTTCTATAAACTGAACCTCCACACCAGTAGGGGCAGCAGCAACTCAACCTGTCAGTTGCAGCCTGAGTTTTCCTAGTGTCCTCATACAAACAGGAAGCAGCACATGAACTTAAAATGTTTTATAAAGATGTCAATAACAGAAAACAAACATCTGCCTTTTGAAGTGGGGTTATGTTGAGAGTAGTCAATATCTTCCCTGCAGTGGAGAAATGTTCAGTATCTCGTTCTGCAGTTTATGTTGCTTCATAAACTGGTTAATAACCGATGCTCACTGCTGTCGAATTGCTGTTTGTGTTTCAGGAGAAACAGCAATGTGACAATTGGCCACATTCAGTCATGTGACAGTGAAGCAGTGCAGGACTGTGTGGAGTTTAGCTAGAGCAACATCACAGTGACTGTGTAGTTACTTTAACACTGGATTGAAACATTTAAAAAAAAGTCTCCTCACATGATCCCTGCTGTCAGAGACTTTTGCTCTACAGGCTGAATGAAAAATCAGCAGAAGGTTCTGTTAGAACCGTTTAGGACGAAACACTGATAAAACCAGAAGCAACAGTTTAATTCTTGCTCCATCACTAAACCAGATCTGTCCCTGGGTTGGTCTGATCAGACACGTTTCCTCGTCATTTCTCTATTCTCTCAGCAGACATCTTGATGACTATCTGAAGATGGGTCCTTCAGTAAACGTAGCTGCACTGTAAAGCCTCCTGAGGCTGAATGGGTCTGGAAAACAGTGAGAACTTCCTCCTTCACTCAGAAATAACATGAAAGCAGTGATACTTAATTTCAGACTTGATTCTTCCAAGAGAAACTTTGTCACTACAGAAAACGTCAAGGACCAAACATGTCATTTTGACTGCAGACGTCTAGCTTGTACTGTAACAGTGAAGAATCCATCCTTTGAACTTGATAACAATTAAGATGATGAAGACACACGTCACTGTTAAACATTCTCACTAACTTACCAACTGCCTTCCTGCGAGTGGATGTTTTAAAACCTAAAATCCCATGATGCAATGTTTGACCATGGCACAAATAAGGAGGTGACAGTGATGGAGACTGAGCCAAAGAGTTGATGGGATGGACACAATCCGTCAGCAGAGAGGAGCAGCTCCACCCATCAGCTGCATTTGGGGGGATTTTTCCTTTAATGTTCCTACATCTGCATGTGGAGATTGCACTAGAGTTCAACATGACGAGGAGGCCGGGCTGGGCCGGGTCAGGCCAGGCCGGCCACGGTCAGCCTGCTGGACACCGCCTTAGAGAGGAAACTGATTGGCCAGATCAGATGCGCTGCATTCAGTGGGCGAAGGCAGCGGCGCGGGGCGGCTGCATGTGTGTGGGCGTCTCAGTCTGCTGCTGCCGTCTGATGGATGTGAACAGACCTGAATCCTGGCTACGTCTGAGCGCGGCGCGGCGCGGCGCAGCGCAGCACCTCTCCTCTCATCTACACATAGACCCTGGCCAGGGCGTCGGCTCCGGCGGAGGCGATGTAGGCTTTGGATGGGTGAAAGGTCACGTCGTAGATGGCCTCTTCACTCTTCTTACGGTGAGCCGTGATCTCCTGCACACACGTTTTACTGTCCAGGTTCCAGAGCCGCAGGGAGCAGTCGTGACCTGAGGCGGAGAAGAGGAGACATGTTGGTCAACCGAACCGCCGCTTCACTCCGCATGGTTCCAGTTACTTCAGCTGAAGCTACGGATGCACCAATCCACTGACTTCACTACTGATATCTCTACAGTTAGTATCGGTCAATACCGATCCCATACAGAAAAACTGCTGAATCAACTTAAAATATTTCTTTTTTTAAACAGCAGTTAATTTATATAGTTATATGTTCATTTGTTAATGAACCCTGCTGGGCCCAATCATTTCAAAAGACACTGTTATGAACAGTTTGACACCTGGAATCACTCTGAGCTTTATGAGACGTTAGGAGACTTACTGCCAGAGATCAAGTAGATCCCGTTAGGATCCACAGCCAGACTGGTCACTGCGTCCAGATGGGCCACCATGGCGTGGATCATTTTACCTGCACAGAGGACAAACTCCCTCAGATGGGGCTGAAAAGTCATCTATGCAACATTATAGCAATTCACCTCAAGTTTTAGTAAAACCTATTTATTTTAGAGACATATCGATTTGAAAGTTCATTCCTTCCTCCTTCCAGCAGCTAGCCTGAAAGCTGGAGCAGATCACATCTCTTCAACATTTAATAATAATAATAAACCTATGAAAACCCGAGAGTGTCCTCTTTATGAGAGAATTATTAAACAACAGTGTCGTCTGTCAGAAGCCTCTTTACAAACAATGTGACACAGGCCGCTACAGGACATCCTTCCTGCACACAAGAAGGATCTATGCTAGACAATACTTCTTCTGTCTAGTTGGTATTAATAACTTAATTTTACATTTGAAGTCCTGTTGAGTTCATGAAATCTGTTATATTCGTTATATTAGGAGGAGGAATGTGAGATATATCTATATTAGTGACTGATATCACGGGTGATGATTCTTTAACATTCTCTATCAGTCAAACCATGATGTTTATTTCCATCTTGTTGTCATTTCTTTCTGATGGAGGAAGAGAAAGAGGCTGGTCATGTGACAGTGAGTCATGGTGCGTTTACAGACTGAAAATGTGTTTAAAAAATTTTCAGGTTTTTTTTTGACATTCTGTTCCTCTCTCCTGCAGCTGTTTCACTTTATAAATATACAAAAAAGACGAGAGCAATATTATTGTTAAAAGTCATAAGAATAGAACAATCAATATAATAAGACAAAATAATAAAAGTGATAAAAAATAAAAAGAAATCAATAATGTGTTGGTCCAGGTGGAACCCGGCGGTCAGCAGACTGACCTGACTTATTATCGAAGAACTTGATGTGGCGATCCTCGTGAGCCGTGATGGTGACGGGCAGCGTGGGGTGACTCACCACTTTATTGATGTGATTCAAACCCGGGACGGCTGAGCGGGGCAGGAGAGGAAAGGTCAGAGGTGACAGGTTATGGAGATGAGTGTCAGTGACCAGAGTGAACCTTACTGCTGTCTCCTTGACCCTTCAGCACCAGTGCAGTCTGGGACGTTTCCAGGTCGTATATCGCCACGTCTCCGTTGTTAAAGGATGCCACCATGTGGGCGGGGTCACAACCGTTAAAGTCTACCGCTGTGGGGATTCCATGCTCTGCAGAGAGGGAGGCAAGGCAGGAAGTTCTGCTCAGTTACTTCCTGCTCCGTTCTGCTGAACTCATAATTAATCTGGTATAACCTAAAGATGCACCGATCCAATATCAATATCTGTATCGTTCCTGATCTAGAAAAAATTCTAGATCGGGTATCGTGGCAATGTTTCCGATCCAAAAGGCAGATCTACTCACTCAAATTCTATGCTCTGTGCTCTGAGTGATGTTATGATTTATTACATATTTGACATTATATTTAGAATTCATAATTGCTCTTTCTGGTTTGTTTCACTTTATTTTCACATGTATGGCCAAAATAGTCAACCTATTGTTTTTATCAGTTTCTTAGTTTCTTATTTTCCATTGGCTGTTTCTCTCCTAACTGCAATGACTGAACAAATTAAAGTTGTTTTCCCATGTTTGACCAGCTGGGAAGCTGTTACTGTATTTAACTGTTCTGGTGCAGAGTTAGCAAATTCATTTGTATGTATTTAAAAAAAGAACCATTTTAAGTCAATTGCGCTGTTTCTCTGTACAGATCCGATTCAATACGTATTGGACCGAGATACTGAGATAAATCTCAGTATTGTTTCTTGGCCAACACTGAGATTTAGTATTGGCTGATACAAAATCTCAGATGCCGGTATCAGAAGTGGATCGGTGTGTCTTGAGTGTAATCTGCCGCTCACCATGGTTTGTGTTGAAAGTGATGATGCAGGGGTCTTTCTCCACGGGGTTCCACAGCTTGACGGTTCCGTCAGCGGAACAGGACAGGAGGCGGTTCTTGATGCCGCTGTAAGCCAATCCCCACACGGCGTCGGTGTGACCCAGCAGCGACCCCGCCAGGACGCTGCAATCTGCCAGCAGCACAACACGAAACTATAAGAGGGATTTTACTACAGCTTAACTTCTGATTTCACTGTAAGGCACCATCTGAACCGTTTCTTCATTGATTCCACTAAATAAAGAATAGAGTTCATCCAAGAACCAACGAATCAATGTAGAAAACAACGTAATAAAAAGGTGCAGATTTAAGCTGGGAGGCTTTTACACACAGTTGGTCCCAGGTTTTCTGATGACATCACACAGAGCAGTAGATTAGTCCTGCTGAACCTTCATCAACCATTCAAGATCCATTCAGGCTCAATGATTAAATGGATCAATTGTGATGAATTGATTATTGAAATAATTGTCAACTACTTTAGTAATTATTTTTAGCTTTACCTGATTCAAATCCTGTAAAAATAAATATCCTATTAAAGATCACCTTTTGCTGTCCAATTAGTAATCAATCATTAGCTGCTGAGTCTTCCTTCGATATAAGTGATCAAGAGTTCATTAAAGGATTGTCGTTATTACATTTTAGCCTATAAAATAATTCTTTTTTGAAATAAGAGTTTAATTATTTATCGCCACATTTGAAAGTAAAAGACGTAATTAAGAAAATCTCCAGAATGTAGCACCTTTTTAAATCCGATTTTATCAGAATAACTGATTACTTGAATCCAGAAGTAATCGTTAGCTGTTGTGTTTCATTCATCTAAAGACTCAGAAAGCAGCTTGAAGAAGATCAAAACAATCAGAAGTGTTTTCTAAGATGGCAGACTCTGCTGCTGAAAGTCAAACTTTTCACTCAACATTCTGCAGAAATCCAAAGTTTCTGATTTAAATGTGAAAGAGCAGAGAACAGGGAGCTGATCAGCAGTGATCCAGTGGATCATGTCAGTACCGTAGGTGTCATAGGGATCGACGTTAGAGCTGGGGATGTTCCACCACTGGATGGTGGAGTCGATGCCTCCACTGAAACACTGCTCACCGCTGGAAGTCATGGCCAAGGAGAGAACCGGGCCGCTGGAAGGAAAAGACGGAAATAAATTCAAATATTCTTTCAGGAAATAAACACTATCAGTAGCAAATGTTTCCAAGACAAAATATTTAACATAAATGTACACCATCACTGAAACAACACAGTTTTCCCAGTAAAAAAACGGAGATGGCAGCATCATGCTCTGGAACTTGATAAAGTTCCTGAAATAAGCAGAATTATTATTTGTTTATTTTAGGGTCAATATTGAAGGAGGAATAAAAAAAGTTCTCTGTGAACTTATTGCAGATATTCCTACTGAGATCTGGATGCTGATGACCAGACCTGGAATAAAGTCACAAACATGATGTTCTAGACTTCAGCTTTCTTTCTCCATCCTAACCCACACCTTGAAAACCAACTCCATATGCTTCTCCAGACTGTGGATCAACTTTATCTTATTCAGCGGGAGCTTTTGAGTGAAGTGGAAGAATTTAGAAAGGCTGGTTTGTCAAAACTTCAGCGCTACAGAAAATGAATAATTCTACCTTCAGACACTAATCCAACCGTTTATGAGGACCGGGGTTCATAAAGCAGTGATTCTTCATCTAAGCCTCTGAAAAGCCTTTCCAACAAAACATGTGTGTGTGTGTGTGTGCGTCTGTACAGGAGTGAGGATACTTACATGTGACCCCTGAATGTGTAGATGGGCTCCACATCAAAAGAGGCACTTCTGAAACAGAGAGAAGATCCAGGTTGGTGTTCAGCAGGTTGGTGTTCAGCTCATCATGGCTGCAGCTCTCCTTTTCTTAAATGAGCTCTTAAAGCTGCACTACTTTTATTTAAAAAATATGGTTTTTACGTATTTGCTCAAACTGAACCTGACTAGAGACACAGTTTGTTCACAAAGTGCTGGCTGCATCCAATATGAATGGAAAGTTAAAAGATGATCAAAACATTATCACTGTGCGCAATGCGTCTGTGAGTTTAGATTAAATGACTGAGATGTTATAGAAGGAGTGTATTTGACATAACTATGGACGACGGCAGAGCCGATGTGTTGTGCTGAGTCAGCGTACTTTTTGGCTGGGACGGTCTTGGTCAGGTTCCACAGCTTCAGGGTGTGGTCTTCAGACACGGTGACCAGGCAGGGCTCCACGGGGTGGAAAGCCAGCGCCCTGACGCCATCGAAGTGGCTCCGCAACGTGTACTTAGGGTTCCACGTCTTCCTGAACGTAGATTCTTTACTGGACGACAGCTGGTGGGGACACACAGGGACACAGAGGAACAGTGGGATTTTGTCCATTACATTTTTCGTCCCAGTACAACCTCAACAGGTTTTCTTACATCGTAGCCGAAGTCCGTCTCGTCGTTGGTGACGGTGAGGTCCGCCAGGTCCCCCAAACCCAACACACTCTCCAGCACGTCGTCCGGCCCTCCCAGCAGGAAGGACTTCCCTCCACCGGAGGGGAACGGTAGCGGTTCCGCTGCAAAGAGAAAACCGATTCAACAAGAGTTGAAACTAAAGTCGCTTCCTTCCAGGATGACAGGGAGCGTCTGAAACATTCAGCATCTTCAGACGGATACGGAGCAAATAAAACTTCTGCTGCAGACAAAATGAAGCCATTATATATTCATTACCAGGTTCAATGTGTTGTAATTAAGAGCATTGTTATGAAATGGAAGGAAAATGATAAACGTTCTTTTTTTTTAAATCTAATAAATAAAACATCCAGATATTGAGCATCAGCCAAACTATAAAAATAGTCTGAAGCTGTCTGAAGAGTCGGCAGTCTGCTGTGGATGCTTCTCTGAGCTCCAGTCAAACAGATGAAACCTAGCATTGCTAGGACTTCTGGAGGACTTCCTGATTAACAAATCTGAGAGAAACTACAGGACCAGCCTTCAAGACACTGAAGCCAATAATACATGAAGGTCTGAAGAACAGTGTCTCTAGATTCTTTACAAGATTAGTTGATATGGGCATCTAAACTGTTAATCAGAGTTTCCTATAGGTCTCACCCCACTCCGTCCCGTCTCCAGAGCTGCGAGCTTCTCCGGCTCCCTCTCCATCCTCTGCTGTCACCAAGAAGTCAAACTCCTTCAGGGCTTCCTCTGTGTCTGCGTCGTCCTCTGATGCCAGGCCCTCGTTCCCTATCTGCACCATGCCAGGCAGAGAAAGAAAGGAAGGAGGCAGGGTCAGGCAAATACAATGACCAGGAGAGATAGGAAAAAAAACCAGAAAAAAAACAGAGTACATTTCATTTCTGCTAAAAATTTTCTAGAAAAAACTTAGAAGGCTGACACACAAAACACGCCGCAAGCTCCAAAACACAAAATCAATGGAAAAATGCAGCTGAAAAAAATGTTTCAATCTCATAAAATAGAAGCAAAGAGACATACTTTACATAACAAATACACATGCTGCAAACACAGAAAAACTGAAGATAGAAAAAATCATGGAAGAATAAATGTGTGCCTTAAAACTGAGAAATTTTCTAGAACAAGAAAACTTCTGAGTTTGACGAGTCAGAAATTTGCTGGGAAAACTCAAATTTTGAGAGAAATCTCAGTTTCTAGAAAATGCAATCATGACGTCCCTTATTTACCTTAAACATGTGGAAGTCTATGGTCAAGTCTCAAAGGATTATTTGTTTGACTCCCTCTAGTGGTGTTGTGGAGCGAATTTGCAGCATTTCATACTAAAAATATTTTTTTCTTTGTGCAGCGTTTTCCTCCTTGCTCCTATTTCCTGCGATTGCAGCATTTTGTTTATTGTGGCAGCATTTTTCATTTGCATTTGTTTTGATGACTGTAGATTTTTGCTTTTATTTTCTGTGATTGCAGCGTTTTTCTTTGCATTCGTTTTGTCTGTCAGTGTGTTTAGCCGCTGGTGCGATGCAGCTGGTAACATCATGGGAACCACATCCAGGAGAAATGATTTGTCATAAAGTCTAACTGGAGGAAGTTTGGCTGCCTTACGTTAGGCTTGTGTTTTTTAGGTCTGTGTTGTTTGTCAGAGCTGATGTCATCCATCAGGTCTCCTTCCTCATCCTCCTCCTCATCGCTGTCCTCTGCGTTTTCCAGGAAGTTGAACGTCTCCAGATTGTCATTTGGAATCCTGCACAGAGCAAACACTTTAACCCCTCATGCTCTGTGTACCAGGTGAGGATGGATGGTTGGCGCAGGAGGGCCTGGTTGAGGTGTGTGTGTGTGTGTGTGTGTGTGTGTGTACCTCTTGGGGTCTTTGCAGCGCTCTGTTCCATTGATCAGGTGCTGCAGGTTCTTATTCTCCATCGATCCGTTCTGCTCAGAACCCGACAGGCCGAGCAGAGAGCGAACCCTCTGAGTGCGAACGTCCAAGATGGTGTCTGTGTATCCAACTTCTTGAAGGTACCTGAACACAACATGACATCACAGTGGATTATGAGCTGAACTAGGGCCGCAACTAATGATTAATTTAGTAATCAGTGATTCTGGTGATTAATCGGATAAAAAATTGGAACATTCTACACAGTTTTAATTTAGGACCTAAAACACTTCCTGGACAATATTGGAAATACAAAATGCAAATTCAATTTCAGTTCAATGACTCATTATGGGAGGGATGTTGTCATATAGTTTCTCTACAAATCCTCTCATGGTCACGCTGAAGGGCGGGTCTTACTGTCTGAGGAGCTGCCGGCCTTGTTTCCACATTAGCTGACTGTTGGCCGGGACAGCAGAGACCTCCGACTCTTTGGTGTCTTCAAGGAGAGAAGAGAGACAAGCTGAGCCTTCCAGTCAGGTTCACAGCAGGAACTGATCTTCCTGCAACACCTACCTGACTCAAAGATTGGCATCTTCATGTCTCCTTGGTTTAACTCTGTTCCATATTTTAACTTGTGGTATTTCGCTCTGAGGAGGAGAAACAAAGAATAACGTTAATTAATCTGTCATGTTACTGTCACGCACGATGATTACAGATAATATTTCCACATAGATATAGATATACTCCCATATTAGCAGCGATATGAGTAATAGTAAGACTGGCACCCGAGGAAAAGTAAACAGAAAATTAAGACCCGTTTCTTACCTTTCCTGCTTTAAAGCATATTCTAACATTTTGATTCTCCTGACCAGGTCATTCTTCAGGTTCTCCTGGCCCTTCCTCTCCCCCTGCAGGAACGCTATCCTGGCCTGGAGAGAAACACACACACAACAGAATTCTATTGAAGTATGACATTTAGCCACTTCAAACCTGCACTAGATTATATACAGAAAAAGCTAAATATTTGCAACCTAGTTTGTGATTTGTGAAACATTTATTTGATTTGTCAGTTCTACAAAATAGATTTAAAATAATCAGGCTAAACTAGGTGAGTTCAACAGATCAGTGTTAGCTCCGCCTTCAGCTCTGATGGATGAGATAAAAATATAGCATTGTGCAAAAATGTATTGCAGGAACAGGAAGCGTGAAATAATACGCATTCAATTAATTATCTGCATCGGCTTTTACAATTTTGCATTTTAATGATTCAATAATAGCTAATAAAATGTGTATCAAATAAATTACTTAAACATTTAATTTATTTCAGGGTACATATAATTAATGACTAACAATTTTTATATTTAATTTTCTCCCTTTTGGCCCTCCATAGCTGCAGGAGCCTTCAGCTGGTTCAAGGAGCTGCTGGAAGCTTGGAAAGAAGGATGCTAATGTAACATCGATTTCAGTTGATTTTTAATTTTCGACAGTGATGCAGTAAAGTATTGTGGAAAGTCTAACTGAAGCACAGGTGAAAGTCGTTCTTTAAAGGGTAATAAAATATGAATAATCTCAGTAAATATCGGTTTTCAACCTTAACGGCAAGATTAATATCAGATAACATCTGCTCAAATTTTCATATTGCAGAGACAGTTATGTTTCACACATATAAAAATGATAATGAAAAACAATAAGTAAACGTTTAACAGGACATTTTGCTTCTTTTTACTTGTCTACCTATCCTGAGTATGTTACTGGAATTAACATAATTTTAAAAAAAAGTCTGACATTTTATATTAAAATCAATGAATCAATGTGGACGAAGTGCAGTAAAGTAGTATATGTACGTCCTGCACGGATCTTTCAGCACAAGTTGGGACTTGCTTTGAAGGAAATCTGGTTCCGATGCGTTTACCCAGATTGCTTTTCAATGGAAATCTGCAACTGAACACACAAAATTCATCCACTCTAATTTACTCTGGACTTTCTCTTGTTGAGTCAAGAGAGAAACATTTCCACAGGAATACTGAAGAAAACAACTTGAGGCTCCAGCTTGTTGTCTTAATAAGAACACGGATCCTGAAACCGGATCCCTACACAGAATTCTGGGAGAACATGGCAGCTGTTTGCTTTTGAAGAAGAAAAAACTGATAAAGCACCGATACTGAAATGAATAATTTACAAAGGTGTCATTTGCAAAGGTCAGCTAGTATTACCACAGAAACGTTTGAAAGCAAGTTAATCTCTCTGTGTGTGTGTGTGTGTGTGTGTGTGTGTGTGTGTGCAGTGGTGGGGACCACTGTGTGATGACAGCACAATGTAATAATGACTTGGAGCCTCATATTTCTGCTCACACTATGCAGTCATGCCAGCTGCTCCAGTGCAGCACTCCGTAGAAGTTAGTTCAACATTTTCCACCACTGAATAAACACAGTACCTCAGTTTCCATTCTGGTCCATTTTTCAGCCCTGGGTCAGGTTTCACTTCTGGGTCTGGCTCAGCTTTAAGGGAATGACGCTGCACAGCTCTCTGGCACTCAACAAGATTAAAACCTGACCAGTGCCCTGCGTTTAGACGGGTGAAGCACCCTCACAGTACAGGTAGGATCCAGGCAACAACCATGACGAAGTCGTCTGTACATGTAGTGACCCATCTGTCCCAGATCCACCAGGCTGACAAATCAGAGCAGGCTATGTAAGGACATGAGTCATCGGGGACATTCCTCTGAACAACGCCATCATGAAAACACACTTCAGTCCTTTTACAAGTTTTCAAGACTGAGGCAACGTCTGCCGGGCTCGATGTGAAACCGCAGAGGTGGAACAGGACGAGAGGAGAATTACTGACCAGCGTCTGGTCTGAGTGAAGATGCCACACAGCTACGGTGGCCCACAGGGGCACAGCAGGGGCAAAAGAGGTTAGGTTCACACTAACCTGTGGGATGTCGTAGGTTTATCAAAAATAATATCACAATACAATCACTTTTTAAAAAAACAATTATTCATAGTTAATCATTTGCTCAAAGTTGATATAGGGATGGTTCCTTGTACAGCACATTTCAGCTGTCAAGTTAAATTGTAGCTCCTTTAAGTGAGTGTGCTACATTTTGTCAAATGTCATCAAAATTCATCATCATAAAATGTTAGATTAAAGATTACAATGAATCTAAGTTCTAGTTATATTGGCCAAAAAATAGTTCTAAATAAATGGATTTTAGTCTAGATTTAAAGAAACTGTATTTAGGCTGTTTTTCCATTTTCTAGAAGTTAATTCCAGATTTGTGGTGCATAGAAACTGAATGCTGCTTCTCCACGATTGGTTCTGGATGCAAAGCAGAACCAGAACCAAAAGACCAGAGAGGTTCTGGAAGGTTGATACAACAGCAGCAGATATTTAATATATTGTGCTGCTCAGCTATTCAGTGATTTATAAATCAAATCAGTATTTTAAAGTCTATTCTCTCAGTGAAGGACTGTAGAACTGGGTGATGTTTTCTATCTTCCAGGTTTCAGTCAGAACACCAGCAGCAGGCATGGTTCTGGATCAGCTGCATCTGGAGGAGAGATTTATTAGGTTAATGTGTGCAGACACTGTTGCAGTAATTGGTGACTAAAGATAAACATGTGGATGAGTTTCTCTAGATCTTGCTGAGACATTAGTCCTTTAATATTGGAAATGTTCCTCAGGTGGTAGAAGGCCGACTTTGTAACTGTCTTTATGTGACTCTGAAGATTCATCTTGTCTGTTGATTTGCAAAAAATGAATGCGACATTTACACATTCTATATTTTCTCAAAATAAGGGCTAAATTCCATCATACTTATTGATTTTGTCCTAGTTAAAGAAGTTAAACTATCATTATATTAATGTTTCAAAAACTATTGCTGCAGTATGAATGCTTTTCAACTTACTGAGTTTGAAATTTATGTGTGTATGTCACCAAATGCTGTTTTTGATAATAACCTGAACATAGGTTTGTCCACAGTTTAAGAATGGAATACAATCATATTCAATAAATTGGAATATGCATTATAATTAGGCTTACTTGTCTGCTTAAATATGCCTTTAGAAAATGACCTTTCAGAAGGATTCAAACATACTTTGGGCAAGGTGTGACAAAAACTGCTCAAAGTTTTACTTCAATGAAAAGTGGTTTGAATAACAATAAGTATATATTTTAATTAAACTTATCTTCCAATTTCCTTCTAATTTTATAGTAAACAAACACTCAGGAACTTTTACTCTATAAGCGACTTGGGTACACCATTTTATTAAACGATCCTCACCTCAAAACGCTAAATACAGCCAGCCTTCTAAAAGACAGAGTGTCCATATCGTGTTACTGCTGCTGGGAATAGACCACAGATACATTTATACACCTAGAAAATAACAATCTACACTCCAAAATATTTGAGACGCTGTATGTCTCTTGAAATAAGGGAAGGTGTGAGACCTGTGTTAGTTTTCAGATCCTACAATCATTTACAGATCCCTTTTCTAAAAACCCAGATTGCTTTGTTTGCTGGGAAAAAGAAAAGCAGGAGCTAAATTAAATCAGAATTTTTTTTTTAAGTAAAAAATATTTTTACAACCTGCAAGTTGGTAGAAAGTTTGGACACTGTTAATGAAGGTATTTCTATGTGAGAGCATCTACGCATAAAACATGGCAAACGCACAACTCTTTTTGAAATAGTTGGACCCGGCCTGGTGTCGAGAAGTGGGGGTGATGTCTCTCTGAGAACAAGATGATGCAATTTTCATCAAGCGTATATATCAATGAGAGCCGACAGGAGCACCATAGGGCACTGTATTCTCACCTTTGCTTTTCACTCTGTACACTTCAGACTTCCACCACAAGTCCGACTCCTGTCATCTACAGAAATACTCAAGACACGTCTGCAGTTGTTGGGTGAATCAGAGACGGACAAGAGTCTGAGTACTGAGAGCTGGTGGTCCACTTTGTACTATGGTTTGGATAAAATCATGTCACCTTGAATGTGAACAACAAAAAATTGATTGTAGATTCCCAAAAGTCAAACATTATTTCCATCATGGGAAAAGAAGTGAAGGTGGTTGAGCTGTAAAAATACCTCAGTGTTCATCTGGACAGACTGGACAGATATTTGCCAACTCAACAGTGAAGTGTCTATAAGAGGCAGCAGAGCAGACTGGACTTCTTGTGGAAACTAAGCTCCGTCTAAGCTCCGTCAAGGTTTGCAGCAAGATGCTGCAGATCTTCTAGAAGTCTGTTGTTGAGTGCCATCTCTTCAGACATCATCTGCTAGGGCAGCTCAGGGTTTCCTCTAGAAAATCTGCTGTTCTGAGTGGTAGAGGTACGAGGTCAGTCCATCAGCAGTCCGCCATGTTTAGTCTTAAAACGTTAAGTTACAAAAATTCAGACGTACATGATTAGGCAACATAATTTGGAAATAATAGCTTAAGACACCAACTGGCAGGTAAAGCGACCGCAAAACTGGAGCACACCCCCACAGCCAGCTATAAACATAGCTTAATTCATCTGTACTGTCACTATTATTGGTGCATCAATAACCATGTTTAAAATAAACAAGTGACTCTTAGTCTGGTGTGGGGCAAGTAAAGCCTGGCGGCCCGCCAGGCTTATAATACACAGGGGTAAACCCTGCAGCAGCCTGAGAGCCAGGGAAATAAAAACACTCAATAGTCTGATAAAGAAGGCTGGTTCTGGTCTGGTTCTGGTTTAGCTCTGATTCTGGACTGTGTAAACTGTGAAGATGATCATGGAAAGAAGGATTCTTCTTTTGAAATTATGGACAATCCTGAGCATGGTCTTCATGAGTCTGACAGTGCCTGTTAGAGGCTTCTTCAGACCTGCTTGAATTAACGTTACAGCAACATTTCATTTCCCATTTGGGATTAAGGAGTACCTTCAATTTGTGTTGAAATAGAAAAGGTGTATTAGAATGTTTTCAGATAAGATTTATACAAAATTATATATGGGAATTGAGTGTTTCTATAACAATTAGTTATTCCGATAATTCATATGAATACTTAACTACTATGAAAGAAACAGGTTTTAATGTGTTGTAAAATTGGATTATTAAAGGGGATGAAATTATTCTTCATTTTTGACTGAAAGTAAAATCTTTTAACTCTGTTAAATGAGTGACTCAATTAATTTATTGTCACTTTACTCATGTACAGTGAGATTAAAGTGTGACATGATGGAATCTGGTTTTGTCCTAGAGGTTATATTTAAATCATTTGAGAATGTTGTATAGCTGAGATTACTTATAAAGTAAAACCCTGGAGATGACAGAGGGATACCTTCTTTTCCCATGACTGAATGCATAAGTTAGTTTGTAAGTTGTGCGTATTGCGGTTATTTTGGGCCGGTCTACTTATAGCGTTCAGCTGGGATCAGGCTGTCAGCACAGGGCCCAGTAGGCCAAGCTGTTTAATTACAGCCTCCTTTCACACAGACCCTGCCCCTTCTCCCAAAACATGGAGTCACTGATGGCGCTTTTCCACGAGCAGCTCCACAACACGGCTCTACGCGGTTGTGAGGGTTTTCCACTAGTGACGGTTGGTGGTACAGTGGATCCTGTTCACAGTTAAATATTTGCAGATTTTTCTGTGGAACACAACTAAATTTATTCATTGATTTTTTTTTTCTTATGACTTTAACAGTCATAAGAAAATGCAGCTTGAGAAGCTGAAATACTCTTGGCACAAAAATATTTGACACGTTGACTGGAGCCTGCAAAGTAACCTGCTCACTGTAGGAGCACTGAGCGTTCCTCAGTCACATCCATGGACTTCCAGAATCGTGGAATCGACTCAGACCACGCTTATGAGGCAAGAGCACAAGACCAGAGACGCCACAGAATCATCTGTGGAATGAAGTAAACAAGGTTTTGAGTAACATACAAATGTCAGATGGATGTATGTCTGCAACAAAACATTTACGTTTGGGTATGACAAACTTTATTTAGGTCACTCCAATTTAATTAATCCTTAGAAATGACTGAAAATGCCATAAATCCTGATTAAAGTTCCCACTTTGAAAGATTTCTAAACTTCATCAACTTGATTTCCAAATGAGGGTTTCTGGCCCTTCGCAAGCCGACCCGATGCACACGTTTCCTGTTGAATGCTGTTTTTTGCTTTCTCCAGTGGCCATCTTCATTAACGATGTATAGCAGGATGTGAGCTCCTGCTATGAAGCATTAGATGCTGCTTTAAAAACACTCTCAATTTGCCAGAAGTCTCCCAGCCATTAAATCCAGCTGTTCTAATCATATCTAAGGCCAGATTTGCTTGCAGCAGTTCAGCACACAACCCGGGAGCTGCCGTGAAAGGAAACCACATGTGCAACAAGTCCAGCCATTACATTTCCTCACATCTACAATTCTCCACAGTCAGCTGTTAGTGGTATTAAAACACAGAAGGAGTGAGTGGGAACAACATCTCAGCCATCAGGTGGTGGGCCATGGATGAGGCACACAATCCTCTGGAACCAGCGTCCAAAATCTTAGTGTTCCAAAACAGCTGAAACACTGAGTTCTTTTAAATCAAGGCTAGAAGCCCATCTGCGTAGAGCTGCCTTTGATCAGAAGTAAACGGAACATTAATCAACATTTTTGACAAAGTGTCATGTTTAATTCTCATTTCATAAGTAGTGACTGTATGGTGTTTTAGGATGTAAAGAACTTTGCACTGCCTCGTCGCTGAAATGTTCTGTACAAATAAACTGGAAACTTTCTGTACAGGCAGACGCTGGAACTCTACACTTGATGTGGCCTTCAGATTAGCTCCAGAAGAGTGCATAGAGAGATTCATGACCCAACAGCTCAATCCAAGGACTACATCACCAAGTGCAATGCAGAACATCTGATGCAGCGGTCCAGCTCGTATCACCATGTCAGTGACAAATCACGCTTCTCTGTCTGCCAATCCAAGGAGCTGGTGTGGGTTTGGCAGGAGAAGAGAACTTGCCTGACTGCAAGTAAAGTTTGGTTCAGAGTGGATGTTAAAGCGGCGGTATGGAACTTGTTTATTTTGATATTTGAAACTGTAACTATGTTGAGAGAGTATGGTATGAGACACAATCTGTGAATTTTTTTGTAATCACAATCCATCACCTTCTCTCAGTGCTAACTAGAAACAACCAATCAGAGGCAGGAGGAGGGCCATAGCGCTGTCAAACACTCTCCATGTGGCGCTGCTCATTCTCCTGTCCCCACCTCCCTCCTTGCAGTGGTGCAGCTTCCTCCTGATAGCAAAGTAGTTAGCATGGCCACCAATGACGGCAGATAAACAGTTTTTCGTTACAGTAAGTTCTTTCTCCACCATTAGCACATTTAGCAGTGAGTACATGAAATTGATTGACAGTGCTAAGACCCTCCTCCTGGGTCTGATTGGTTGCTTTTGATTGAAATGGTGCTTTTCTTCACGCGGCAATAGCAGCTCAGAGAGGAGGTGGAGATCAATCTTTTGTCAGATTATCTATCTCATAACAAACCATCATAACATGATGACAGTTTCAACAAATGACTGAGGAGTACATCTGATGTGGAGAAGCCTGGTTGTTCTTCACAGAGACCTGAACTCCACCCAACTTAACAGCATTGGGAATAAAGGAGATTATGAGCCAGGCATTTTCACCTTACATCAGGGTCTGATCTCAAAAAAGGGATATGAATGAATAGGAAAAAAATTAATAAATAAATAAAAAAACACTCATGCAATGTCTTCCATGAAGAATGTGAAAGAAATGTTCCCTTCAGAAGAATTGATAGTGTCAGTGGCGAGACAGATGTTCTCTACTGTCAGGCAATTTAATCTCAAAACTATCACAGCGTGGAAGAGTGTGATTTTCAACTGCTTCCATTCACCACCGCTTTATTTTCACCACAAAGTAGCCTTGCTGTGATAGGAATCATCACAGAGATCTAATACTCTGGGAAAAAAACTGAGCACTGACATCAAAATGATAAAGGAGATCCCTGAAATGTGAGACACAAAAAACAGACTTCTAATATCCCTCTGATGTTAATGTTAACATTATAAAATGCTGCAAGGTGAAACCGTAAACTACTGAGTTTCAGAGTTAGGTTGCGTCTGTCACCACTCAGCTGGAATGAAACATAAACAAGATGGAGTATAATTTGACTGAAATCTTTCTAACATGCTACTGAATGATAACTGACGCTTTGTTATGTGGAGACATAACATTCTGACCTACACTGATTTATGTAGAAAAAGACCTAAACTCTTATTACAATAATTTGGGGGATTGTTACGATGATAAAAGCGAGTCGTAATTTTGTTGGCTACAAATGTATTCCTGCACACGGCCTCATAAAAAACAAACAAACACAGCTCCAACAAAAAAAAATCCTTTTCAAAGCAGCTACTTCACTACAACAACAACATGAAGAAGCGTGGCTGCGAAAACTGCATCCAATCATGTTCTGAATCATAAATGTTGCAGTTATTGATGCTCTCATGGAGTCAACAGAAGAAAAAACATATCCAAACAATAAAGGGAACGACGAATTAACCCTCTCATAAGACTGCATTTAGAGGTTTAAGACGTCCTCTATCATTGTTGTCACAGAATTAATGTCTCTCTTATGACCATCTTCCCCTGCAGCAGTAAGATGACTGCCTCTCCTTACCTGGCAGCAGGTCCTTGATCTGATTACTCTAATAATCCCTGTAGCTATGAACTGAAAACTTCCTGAGATGTTTCAACATGACCACCACTGCCAGCTGTTCTGACCGGCCCAGATGGGCTGGTACCGATATCAGGCCTCGTTCACCAGATCCAACCTTCAGCTTGTTTCAGTTCAACTAAAGAACAGACCGGCAGCTTTACCCGGACAATAACACTTCACTGAGGCAAAGCTACAGTTAGCTAGACTGATCCATGGTGGGGATGTGATGCTAATGCTTAGCTCCGGTCAAGCAGCTGGTGTTATTTCTAGTTTGCCAGCCCTCCGACTGGCTTTCACACCTCCGTGTCGGGCTGAGCGCTTCTTAAACCTCCCCTCCTATCACCACCTCACCACAGGGTGACCCGGAGCTGAGCGGATAGCCCGAGTTTAGCCTGGAAGGAGCTACGACGCTAACCTGGAGTTCGGCCCTCTCCACTTCCCAGTGTGCCCTCTCGATCTCGAACCGGGCCCACTCGTGTTGGATGTAGTGCAGGATCCCGGGAATAGTGTATTGCTGATGTGGCCGGGGCAAGTCTTCGTTCTGCTGCGGGACCATGACTGCTCCGATAGGGGGACCGCCGCTGCTGCTGCCCTGCTGGTGCTGCTGCGGTGAAGGCGGCTGTCGCGGGGCGGCCGCTCCTCCTCCTGCACCTCCTCCCGGGTGTTCGTCCATGTTTTAATGTTTTTGTTTGGAAGTAGGGTTTGTAAATTTTCTCGGTTTGAACGAAAAGTCCGCCGGGAACCTCCCGTGTGACTGCTGCGGTGTCACCGCGGCGGTGCGTGAGGCTGGCTGCCCCTCAGCGTTTCGGGGAGTCCGGCTTAATGGAAATGCTGTGTTTACGTATAGCTCTAACCGGCCGCCATCTCTGCTCTCTGGAAGAACCCAGCGCGCTGCATGACGGTACATCCACCGGGATTCTCGTCTTCGTCTTTGACATTTTCCCTGGCTTTGGGCAACCAGAGAATAGGTTCCCCACTGCCCCCTGCTGGTATGGAATGCACACCTGAAAGTTCCTTAACAAGAAACATCTGAATTTATGTGAGCATATTATTTTAGTTTTTACTCGAATGAATACTAAAGACTGGCAATTGATGTAATTTAATACTTACAAATATAAATTTCACCACCTTCATCTTTTTTCCAATTTTGATTATGGAAATATTTAGTACAGAAGTATTTAACCACTATTTCACACAACAGCGAATAAGTCACCCAGAAATGCTGAAAATACATACGAACGCTGTAATAAAAATATTTATTTCATGTAAAGTCAGCTTGTCTGTATTAAATGTATTCATTGCATGAATCTCAATAGGAAATTAAATCCTGTTACTCATATTTTCCAAATTTCTTCAGCGTTTTTGTAGAGGCAGGAAGGATCTTCTGTAGTTGTCTGTACTACAGTGACGCTGAAAAAGCCTCTGACTGAAGACACTGTTGTTGTCTGATGAAGAGGATTCTCAAGGTGTTTCTTAATATTCCTTGTTTAATGAAGATTCCTTCTTTGCATCATCATCTGCAGAGGTCCCACAGAACAGAACCAGAACACAACATACCTTCTTTATCAAGTTACCTGGTTTTTTCAAGTTCCTAGATCTGATAGCAACAGATGACAGCAGAAGATTACACTTCAAAAACATAACACACAACCTGTGCCTTCAGGCCAATGCTTCTTCACTTTGAACTGCCTTATTGCTGAAAGGTGCTATATAAATAAACTTGACTGACAACACATGAATAGTCCTCAAAAACATGACTAACGTTTAAGAAAAAAATGAACTAGCTTTATTATCATTGTAAAAAAAGAAGAAGCTAGAAATATACCAAATATACACGTCTTACCTTTTTGTGCTAATTCTCCAGCAGGAGCTTGCTCTCTCTAAAACGTTTCCATCTACAGTATTTACTGATTTTTTTTTTTAACTCCCATCCACTAGGTGGCAGTACTGTACCTCTCAGCTGCTTTGTCATTGTTGATGTTTGAGGAAGGAAAACTGGTGAACTGTGTTAGGATGAGGCTGGTCTGTGGAAGGTGACAGGATGATTAAGTTTGTGCTAATGGTGAACCAGCAGGGTCAGACCAGACTGTCCAAATACTATGAGCCAGTGGAGCTGAGCAAGAGAGCGGCGCTGGAAGCGGTGGCTGTCCGCTGCTGCCTGAGCCGCGGGAAGCATCAGGTAAACTGGCTGCCTGCTCGGCTGCCTGCCTGCTCAGGTCCGGACAGTTTCTGACCCGAATGGTAAAACGATCGACAGAAATATGTGGCGGTTAAACAGTTGGAAATGGAGCACAGCTCGCAGCTAGCTTTGTACGGCAACAATGCCGCCATGTTTGTGGGGGCAGATTTCTCAAAGCAAATTCTGTTAATAGAATATAACTGTTTACATTTAAATTCAGTCTACGGCGTATACTGTGAATTTAAATGTAAACATGTTTACATTTTTAAATGTTTACATTTTTAAATGTAAACATTTGGCGTAGACCCATTTGGAAGGGCGTAGACTCTACGCCCTTCCAAGCATTTACATTAATTATTTATACTGCATGGAATGAAGCTTACATATTTCCAGAAGTCGTAATTGCCGGGATTAGTGTTTTTAAACTTAATATATCCATTATCATCTATGATGAAATATTTCTGCAGACTTTAGGAAAGATCAATCCAAACTAGAAACCAAAGAAACTTTTGCTTCAAATTTGATGTTTTCAAGTACCAGAATGAAAGTAGATTTTTCCTCCAAAAATGCACCATTAAATACTGAAATGTTTGCCTTGTATATTTTAATCATCTATATATGCAGAATCCTGTCAAGAGATGGAAATATTAGGAAATAAGATCTGATCAGAAATGCTGGAATAGCATCAGCTGTATTTTAATTTAAAACCAGGATTAAATTAAAGCTGTGTAGTTTTAATTTAAAAACTAGACATTACATTACTACTACTTAGAACAATGGGACAAGCCGGCATAAGACACAACATTCCGGTGGAGTTGAGGAGGAGACCGAGGGGCTGCAAGGCTGGGGCTAAGCTAAAGGCTAAGCTAGCGGACAACAGGAGGCGCTACAAGCCATCGATTCCCACTGTAATCATGGGAAATGTGAACTCGCTGCCGAACAAGATGGATGAGCTGTCTGCACTGAACAACCAGCGGATCTACAGAGAGAGCAGCTTGTTCATCTTTACAGAGACATGGCTGAACCACCTCGTGCCGGACGCTAACGTGGACCTGCCAGGATTCACCGCTGTGAGGGCTGATAGGGACACGAAAGCGAGTGGTAAAAGAAAAGGTGGGGGACTCATCATGTATGTGAACAATAAATGGTGTAACCCAGGACATATCACTGTAAAGACTGTTTGGTGTTGTCGGGACCTCGAGCTACTAGTCGTTAGCTTGCGGCCATACTACCTGCCGAGGGAGTTCAGTCACGTGATCTCCATCTGCGTTTACGTCCCACCGAGAGCGGACGCTACCACTGCCTGTGAAAAAATCCACTCTGTCACAGCAAGGCTACAGACAAAACATCCTGACGCTTTTATTATAATCTCTGGGGACTTCAACCATGTGACCTTGGACTCTACTTTGGCCACTTTCCACCAAGCTGTTGACTGCCCCACCAGGAATAACAGGACAATCGACCTCCTGTATGCCAATGTGAGGGATGCGTACAGAGCAACACCCCTCCCCCCACTAGGAAGTCAGATCACAACATCGTTCACCTACAGCCACTGTACACCCCCCTGGTCCAAAAGCAGCCTACAACAGCTCGCTCCATCAGGAGTGGTCCCCTGAGATGGAGAGTGCTCTGAGAGACTGTTATAACACCACGGACTGGGATGCACTGTTCAGCCCGCATGGCCAGGACATAGAGGGGCTGACACACTGCCTGACGGACTATCTGAACTTCTGCGCAGATGTGGTATCCCCTGCTAAGACTGTCCGCTGTTACCCTAATAACAAGCCTTGGGTAACGCGGGAAGTCAAAACTGTCCTCAACAAGAAGAAGGTTGCCTTCAGGGAGGCCATGAAGGCAGCACAGCAGGAGGTGAAGCAGTGTGTGAGGGAAGCAAAAGACAGCTACAGGAGAAAGGTGGAGCAGAAGCTGAGAGAGAACAACATGAGGGAGGTCTGGGAAGGTGTGAGGACCATCACTGGCCTCAACACAAAGACCAGAGTCGTTGAGGAACAATGGAGAGGGCAAACCAACTGAACAACTTCTTCAACAGGTTCAACCAGTCTGTGCCCCCCCAACCCCCTCTCTCACTGCAGCCACCTCTGCTCCTTACCACACACCTCCCCACAGACAAGAAAACACTGACAACCCCCCACACACCTCAGCACAACCTCCACCCCACATCACCACAGACCAGGTCAGAGAACAGCTGAGGAAGCTCAAGCCCAGGAAAGCAGCAGGGCCGGACCAGGTGTGTCCAAGGCTGCTGAAGACCTGCGCTGCTGAACTGGGAGAGCCACTACAGCGGATCTTCAACCTCAGCCTGCAGCTAAGGGAAGTGCCCACCCTCTGGAAGACATCCTGCATCGTCCCAGTGCCCAAGAAGAACAGGCCCAGCGAGCTGAATGACTTTCGGCCCGTGGCACTCACTTCACACCTGATGAAGACGTTGGAGCGGCTCTTCCTCGGCCTCCTCAGACCTCAGGTGGAACATGCTCAGGACCTCCTGCAATTCGCCTACCAGGCAGATGTTGGTGTGGAGGATGCCATCCTCTACCTGCTGCACCGGGCCCACTCCCACCTGGATAAGGGCAGTGGCACAGTGAGGATCCTTTTCTTGGACTTCTCCAGTGCCTTTAATACAATCCAGCCCCTTCTGCTCCAGGACAAACTAAATAGCATGGGAGTGGACCAGCACCTGGTCACCTGGATCCATAGTTACCTCACCAACAGGCCAGTATGTCAGGCTAAAGGACACCGTGTCTGACACTGTGGTCAGCAGCACAGGAGCCCCTCAGGGCACAGTGCTGGCCCCTCTTCTCTTCACCCTGTACTCCTCTGACTTCCACTACAACTCGGAGCTGTGTCACATACAGAAGTATGCTGATGACACAGCCATAGTCGGATGTATCAGGGACGACGGAGAGGAGGAATATCGCTGTCTGGTGAGGGACTTTGCTCTCTGGTGCCACACAAACCACCTGGAACTCAACACCTCTAAGACGAAGGAGCTGGTTATAGACTTTGGGAGGTCCAGACCAATGCCGAGACCAGTCGTACTAGAGGGAACGGAGGTTGAGGTCGTGGGCTCCTACAAGTACCTCGGGCTGTGGCTGGACAGTAAACTGGATTGGTCAAAACACACCACCCACCTGTACGGGAAGGTGCAGAGCAGGATGTACTTCCTGAGGAGACTGCGGTCCTTTAACATCTGCAGCAAACTGCTGTGGATGTTCTACCAGTCAGTGATCGCCAGTGTCCTCTTCTACACCGTGGTGTGCTGGGGAGGCAGCACATCCAAGAAGGACACGTCCAGACTGGACAAACTGATCAGGCGTGCCGGCTCTGTGGTCGGCATGAAGTTGGACTCTCTGGTGACGGTGGCAGAGGCGAGGACACTGAACAAACTGCTGGACATCATGGACGATAGCAGCCACCCTCTACACGCCGTCATCAGCAGCAAGAGGAGCCTGTTCAGTGACAGACTGCTGCTTCCCAAGTGCCGGACCAATAGATTCAAGAACTCCTTTGTCCCCCACGCCTTCAGACTGTACAACTCCTCACTGGGGGGTCGGAGGTGACACAGGACAGAGGGAAGAAGGAGTAGTTTTTCTACAAATGTGAACTCCATATTTATCAGGCCAAACCATACAGTGCAATACCATATCACTCACTGGTCAATCTATCGACCAAATTGCTATAATTTCCTTTTGTGTTTTATTTATATTCTTTGTTTTGTATTTAATTTGTATTTTTTTGTATTTTGTGTATGCTTACTGTGTGCCACATTTTTGCCTGTGAGCTGCTGGTAACTATAATTTCCTGAGGGAGTCTTCCCAAGGGATCAATAAAGTCAAGTCTAAGTCTAAGTCTAATCTAATCTGAGAAACAATTGTGCTGAGATTTAAGGAGGAATAGTAAAAGCAAATGAGATGGATTAGCAGAGCTTGCTGGCATGAGACAGCAACAGTCTCTTTAGTCAGAGCCGTTGGAAGACTGACTGCTATAGGAGATCCTTTCTGACCACAGCATCACCAACCACAGTGACTCTTTGAACATACTTGGATGAAATTAGTTACAGCAAAATTAAATTTCTCTTTGGGATAAAGAAAGTATTTTTGAACTGAATGAAAGTTTGAGAATGAAAATGAGACGTTATCAGAGTGGTGGATTGTTTTTCAAGAAATTGATTCAGCTGAATGAATCTGAAATGTTTTGGCTGCATTCAGTACATATTAACCAAGGTCCCTTTTTAAAGGCACATCATAATTAAGCTAAGTTTGAGGAGTACAGTTTTCAAATGTGTTCAAATTTTTCTGTGAAATAATCAAACATCTTGTATATTTTCATCATTTGCAGTTGTGCTCACTCTAAATAAAATCTCCATTTTTAACCAATCAAGGTTGAGCTGACTGGACAATACTTTACTTAAATGTTCCATTGGAGATTTACCAAAAACAAACAAACAAACAAAAAGATCTAAATGTTACTGAGGATGCATTTATATACTTGAACCTGCATGTTTAGTTTTAACCCTGTTGATTCACACTGAATGATTGTTTTTAGAAGCTGATTGATGCAGAATCTTTCCACCCTGTGTGGAAGGATTCAATAAAATCACAGAGCGAACATGATGGATGGATGTAAACATCTTGTATCTACTGTGCGCAGGATTTGCTTACAGTATGTCTACCTCTTTCCAGTGTTCGTTTGTGGAGTACAAAGACTTTAAGCTGGTGTATCGGCAGTATGCAGCGCTGTATGTTGTGGTGGGGGTGACAGACAGCGAGGTAAAGCTGCAGAATCTGAAAACGCTCAGATTGTTGTCCTGCTTGTCTAATTTGTGCTTCTTGGAATCCTCCCGCAGAATGAGTTATCCATCTATGAGCTGATCCAGAACTTTGTGGAGGTTTTAGATAAATACTTCAGCCGTGTGGTGAGTTCATCAGTGCTGAAAATCTTCAGATGGCTGCAGGATGTCTCTAACTATCTGTATTTATCTGTCCGCAGAGCGAACTGGATGTATCCTTTATGATGGCAGGTTCCCAGGTCTGAGCTCATTAGGTTCTATTTGTAGCGTCACAATAGTTTTGAAGTTAAATATTGACAGAAAAAAAAACTGCCAGGAATTTATAAGCTGTGCTGGAAAAAGTATTTTCCACATTAGTCTTCCTCTGCTTTTGCTTTTTTATTGCATCAAAATGTTTCCTATCATCCAACCAATTTTACCATCAGGCAAAGACAAAAATCTAGTTTTCAAAGATGATTTTATTCATTAAAACTGCAGCATAAGACTTTTGCAAAACATTTTTTTTTACATATTTGTTGAAGCTTTCGTTTGTCATGACATTATGAGAGCTTTGTTATGTTTCAGTTCCGCCATCTTGTCTGTTGCCTGCTGGTTTCTCCTTGACCTGGAGATGTCATCAGATCATGTTTAATCTGGACTCCGTTCACATCATCCTGGACGAGATGATCCAGAACGGCCACATCGTGGAAACGAACAAGAGCCGCATCCTCGCTCCACTCACCGCCATCGACAAAATGGCAGATGGGTGAAGCAAGCAGGAATTGATGTCACAGACTATTAGAGCATTCTGGGAAATATTGGACTGGTGTTTGTTAGGGGTGTGCCAGTAAATTGATCCTGGTTTCCTTATTGTTGGGTGATCAACCACAACTCACATGAAAAACTGATTTTATCTTCCTCTGCAAAGGTCTGAAACCACGCCTGACACACCACGATTTGCCATAAAACTGTGATGGGTGCACCCCTCGTGTTTGTAGAGCAAACTGCTGCCAAGGATCCATGAGGCGCTAATGTACCAGTGTGTGCAGCTCCCAGCAACACTTAACAGTACAGAATACTGCTGACAGGTTACAACTGTGAGTGATGTGAAGTCATAATGTTTGTGGCTCGGTCAGCTGATAATACATGGTGAAAGCTTGTTTTGTTATTTCAGTGTTTGAGCGTTCTCTTTTTGTGCACAATCACTCTAGATCAGGGCATCCTAGTCCAATCCCTGGGGGCTTGTTGAGCGTTTCTGCCCCAACACATCTGCTTACGTCCCGATCTCTGCAGAACTTCTAATTGTTCATTTGATCCCACTCAGCTCCTTCAGACAAGCCAGCATCAATTAGCAAAGACCTGGTGGAACTGCTGAGCTCATCAACTTTATTTATAAACGTTTTAACATCAGCTACAGCTGAAACAAAGTGCCGAACATTCATAGTGGATAAATATGATAAAGCATTAAAAAGTAGTTACCTCTCAGTGCAACACTGGTAAACTCATAGCAGGGGTGTTAAACTCGAGTCCTGCAGTTTTTAGATGCGTCACAGACACAAAACACTGGAATCACATGCCTTAATTTCCTCCTTATTGTGTAGATCAGTTCTCCAGAGCCTTGCTAATGACCTAATTATTCTATTCAGGTATGATGCAGTAGAGGCACAGTTAGAAGTTGCAGGGCAGTGGACCTCCAGGACTGGAGTTCGACACCTCTGCGTTAAAGGGTCAATAGAGGAGCCATGCTGTGACAACTTGGGAGTTTCAGAAAGAGCAGTTTTTAAAGAGACAAAGGCCCATTTTTAAGGAGTTAATTATAAAGTCAAATTTCATTAAAAGTGATTTTATTTACATTTGAAGTTACTTGATTGTGCTTTAAAAAGGAACCATGTGCCTTGAAAATAAATACTGCCCCTTTAAATCATTTTTGTGCCACTCAGCTCTTCAGATCTAGAGCATCTAAATTTTATCAGACTCTGAAATTAATCTTTGGAATCTGGGAGATGTAGTCCTCACAGCTGTTTGAACAGTTTCCTATTTGATGCTCTTCCATAAACATGTCACATCTGTGGAGAGCACTTGTGGATCTCTGCAGCTCCTCCAGAGTTACCATGAACCTCTTGGCTGCTTCTCTAATTAGTCTTTTTACTGCTTGATGGGCGAAGCTTGATCTCACCTGTTAAATTCAACAGTTACTAAATCAAAAAGCAATTTATCAAATTTTGTGTTTCTAAGATGCTGAAAAAAAAAACTACAAACCACACAACTAAATTTTTACTTCATACTTTGCAAACAATTTATTGATTATCTTTTGGAGCATACACATTTGAAAATATTTGTTTACCTGAAACTGCAACTTCAGTACTTCAGTTAAATAAATGTTTACAATATACAAAGAAAATACAGGGAGCAGAGTTTTTTAGATGTGCATCAAACACAATCAGTGTTTTTTTTCTCTTTAGCTTAATCAGAGAGGAAACAACAAAAACTGAACTTTGACCTTTTCATCAGGTCTAAAACAAACCAAACTGATGCTCACACACACGCACACACACACACAAGCTGAATGGAAAGGAAGAAAAACTAAAAAGATGAAATTGAGAAATGAGCCTGAACCTCTAATGAAGAAAATGAAAACTAAGTGGAACCAGGCACTGAACTGAACGGACGAGAGGAGGGGACCTGTGTGCGAACGCGAACACACACACTCTCACACACACCAGCTTGCAGCCTTGGCCCTGGAAGCTGACGTGGTTGTCAGGAGGGAAGCGTGAAACATGTGGGTTGGAGATGTTCAGTCAGAATCCTGCGCTGCGAGCCTCTGTGTGTCTGTCAGTCACGCGGCTGGATGTTCTGGCAACATGGACTGATGGTTTGGGCGCATGCTCAGTGTAACCGTGGTGACGCTCTGAGGTCAGTTCAGGTGAAAGCCCTTTTCCATAGTGGCAGCTAACAAACGCTCCCTCATGATGTCCTCAGATGAATACTCTGGGAGCTTCAGGTAGTGGACACAAGTGTTTACTGATGGATAGCTGGAGTCTGTTGCATCCACCTAGAGGGGGTGGGGCAACAGGGGAACAGCAGCCAATCAGCTCACAGTCAGACTTTTAAAGCTGCCTGAAGAAGATCTGAACCTACCTTTCTGACTACGGTGAGGCGTGGGTGAAGGTTGGCCAGGCCACCAGGGGGCAGCGTGGAGCAGCCAGTGGTGAACTGCAGGAAGGCTTTCCTCTCATCAGACGACATTCCACATAAAACCCTGACAAAGCGCTGAAAGCCAGGACTGCAGAGGAGCAGACACAATGTAACAGGATCAGTTTTAGCCTCAAACATCAACCTGTGTGTGTGTGTGTCTGCTCCCATACCTGTCTCTAGTGTAACCAAGCTTTGGTTCGGTGTAGTTGATGATGTCATCAGCATTCCAGGAAGGAGACTGGTTACCACAGAGAACCATCTGTACTTCCTTATGGCTAAAGGAGCTCAGCTTCTCCATGGGGAACACCTGATTAAATCCCTCTGAGGAGAGCAGACAGGATGAGCCCACACCGGTCAGTCACATCCATCCATTATTCAAATGATCAACTCATTTAGTAACACAGACTAAAAATACTACAAAAATATCTATACATTTTGCTCGTAAGAGTCGAAACAACAAAACCCTTTTAAAATCTGTTCTAACAAGAACTCCTTAGTTTTAGCTTCACTGCAAGAAAACTGAAGCACCTTTTACTCTCCCATTATTAATTGTATTTGTTAGCTGCAGATGCATCCTGTACTACAAATGCTCAAGCATTCACTACAGGCGTGCTGTTATTGACTTTCAGGTAACAAAATGTTTATTTTCTTTCTTAAATTTATTAATATTTTTAATTAATTGTACATTTGCACCTCAATGTACACGTGTTCCAAATCATTGTGCAAATTGGATTTAAGTGTCAAAGATTACATTTTTTGTTGCGCCATCAGGGTTGTAGATGGTATTGTGTGTCAGGGCTCTTTGAATCACTATAATGAATTTCAGAGCTGGTTGATTAGTTTGTCTGGTGAACTCAAAGGAGATCTACTTAAGAAGGATGATCATTTAAGAAAATCAGAGAAAATATCACTTGCATAATAATTTGGAACACTGCATATTTCTAATATTGTATAAAAAAGTATCAGTGGTTAAAAAATGTGCAGAATGAGCCTTTTTTGGTTTTTTTAAATCAGATTTTTCTTGTCTAGTTCTGTCTTACTAACTGCTCTGTGTTGTTCTTTTGGCAAATGGCCTTTTAAGTAGAAATGCTCCAGTTAAGAATTAATCAATGACTAAATTAGTTAATCAATTCATCACTATTAATCCAATTTATTGTTTCAGCTCTACTTATAATAATAAACATCTCAACAGCTTGGTGTCTCAGAGAAACTGTTCATCTGTGATTTTGGGTACTATAATAATAACTCCATTCATCTGATTGGTGCCTGAGCTGTGAGTGAGCGCCAGCTTTGTCTAATTGTGATGCGTGTGTTCACCTTTGAAGGCCTCCATCTGTTTCTGGATGCCAGTGTGCATACAGAAATCAAACATCAGCTCCACATACTCCTCTGCATTCTCCACAGTCACCATCTGTCCTCACACAATCACACACAGAGAGAAAAGCAGGTTTAGTGGGACACACACACGCAGTCCATCCTGTGACCGGAGCAGCAGCTGGGTGGATGTGTGCCGTTACCTCGTCATCTCCGTTTGTTTTCAGGTCTACTGCAGAGAAGCCATGAACCTTTGATGATGGACAGAATTGAAAGTTTAACCTGAAAACAGAAATGTCACTTCATCAGGTCACATTTAGAACAGCAGCAGGTAAGGAAACACTGTACTTATTATTTCTATACAGTATATTCATTTTAATACAGTTTTATGAAACTGTTACAGACTGCTGAGGCCGTGTCCCTTTTTTTCTTTTTAATACTCCAGCATTTATACAAACAATGTGTGAGATCATGTTTCTTGGGATTGTCCTGCACTGAAGCAGGCATCACATTTAAAAACCAAATGTTTGCTCTGCTTGAAAATATGATTTAATATATAGTTGTGTTTTTAAAGGTTCCTGCTGAGCGCAGTGAGAACAGAGCGGAAGGTGTGGCGTGTGGGTTTAAGTCTCACACACTCCCTCCACACGTTTTCTGTCAGCGCCTGGCTGGCTTTTGCAACTTGATGAAGTTTATAAAAATGTCTTCTTCATTCACAGTATTCCTGGAAAATGCTGCTTTCATATAAATAAATAACCAGCAAATCAAAATACTGCAGCAAGCTGCAGATTTAACCAAACAACAAAAACTTAATCCCAGGAATGCTTCAATTTTGCACCTTGAGAATATTTAGTTAAGCATACAGATAATTATTAAATGTTTTGGGTGATTTTCTCTCTATTTATTTTGAAATGTGACCAGGGCTGGCTCAAAATTTTGTGGAGACTTAAGCAGTATATGATGGCCCCCCAGTCCTAACTGGACTGAAGTGAATTTGTGAACAAACCGAGCTCCAACACAATTAAACTCTGTGTTAAAATGTTAGCATTTATTGGGCCCCTGAACGCCTGGGGGACCTTAAGCAGCTGTTTAGTTCCTTTATGCCTTGGGCGGCATTACCTTGTTTGAAGATCCATTGTGATTACTTCATTAGGATTTAACTAAAGTGCAAAAATGTAATATTTGTTTAATTTGTGTTTGTCTTTTTTCTCTTGTGGTGTTCAGGTATTGACTCAGCAGGTATTCTGGGTAAAACCCTGACTATGTTATGGCCCCAAACAGAAGAGCTGACTCAGCTCTTCTCGCAGCAGGTCAACCTGAGGCTGAGATTTTACCCAAGGTCCTCGATGCTGAGTGGGGGCCCGGAGCCCAGGGGGTTCCTCAGCATCAGGTCCTGCAGTCTGGTGTTCTTCTCGTCCTCAGACAGACTCTTGCTGCCCAGGATCTGTCTCCTCTTCACAGCCAGCTCTTTCACCTCTTTCAGGAAGGTTGCTCTAAAAAGGGTTGGTGGAGATCATTTTCTAAATGAGTCAATGTTTTAACAAGCAAACTCAAAAAGGAAACTCTGAACCCAATGACCTGCTGACCTGTGTGGGTTAACCAGCTGGAAATCATCCCAGGTCAGGATGCCGTGGTACCAGGCGGGGGGCTTCCGTTTGGGCGGGTCCATGATGAACTCGGACTTGGAGTCCTCGTCAAAGCTGCCCACCGAGTACGTCTCTTGGCTCTCCTCGGTGGACGCCTCTGACTGCACCTCGGACAGCAGCGCCTGCAGGTGGGCGCGATCGGAGCCGTGGCCCGGAGGCGAGCCGCGCGACTGGTACAGCAGCTTGCTCATGTTGGACTTTATGTCGCCCATGCAGAGCAGTTTGAAGAAGGGCTGGGACACAGGCAGGTCCACCAGCCGGTTGTCCTGGATGCACTTGGCCAGAAAAATCCCCAGGAAGTGGAAGAGCTTGGTGATGCGCTCCAGCTCCTCGCTGTCCTGCGGGAACGGAGCAGGGAACAGGCCACAGGAGCGCTGCACGTAGAAACCGGGTGGCTTCAGACCGCCGCCCAAGTCCACCTGCAGAGGACAGGGGAACACACACAGTCAGCAGTGTTGCCATGGAGATGGCGGTCAAACTGGTGCAAATCAACCACAACAAAGCAATGTCCTGGTTCCTGTTCACTGGGTGAATACTCACCATAAATCTGGTGCAATCTTCTCACACCTGCAGGTCTACTGGTTAATATGTTACATGCATCCATTGAATATGGAGGTGCTCAAAAACACAACAGATTTCCTGGTTGTGTGTGATTCTGGGAATTTATGCATCAACTTAAACCAAGGAAATATACAGGACTGGTATCACTGATTGTTTATCTAAAAATTATTGATTAATTTGGTGAGTCATAAGATTATGAGAATAAAGTCGTAATATACTGACTGTTCTCATAATATGACCTTATTCTCATAATATTATGACTTTATTATCATCTTATTATGGTCATGGCTCTTATACTTTGTTGTAAAATCAGCTGAAGTCAGATTCCAATGAATTTGTCATTGAAAACCTCCATGATGAATTTTTTTTCTGAAATTTATTGAACATCATTTGATGTTCAATAAATTTACCTATATTGTCTATAAATAAAATGTATCATCTGTTATTATTTGTCAGACTATAAGCAGCTACATTTTTCCCACGCTTTGAATCATGTTGCTCACAACCTGGTGCGGCTTTTCTGTGGATTTTTCTTCTCCTGCCACGGGGCTGTTTAGCAAGAAGTGATGATGCCGCTTTTAAGTTGAGGGCTATCGATGGGAAATAGAGCCGCTGCATGTGAGCTGAGCGTGAACGAATCCATGGTTCAGTGTTAGAGACGGAGGGCTGCGTCCTCAATAAATCCAACAGATTTATGAAAAACCGAGAGCAGCGGAGATATCAGTGGCTTATAGCCTGCTGCAACTTATATATGTACATTTTCAGTTTTTTAAAAGAAACTTTATACATGGGGCTTATAGTGAGGTGCGCTCTATAGTCCGGAAAATATGGTATATAACCATATTTTGTGTTTACATAGCAGTTTAGTCTGTCAGTTTCACACATCATGACACAGAATGCTGAAATGGGCCTCAGACTGTGAGAGAGCTCTACTTCACATCCTCTTAGCAGTTTCTCATGAGTTCATGGGTCGGCGGTTGCTAGGTGACTGACCTGTCGGGACTCGTCGTCAGGGAAATCGTCGTCACACAGCCAGATACCCAGGGACGTTCTCTGGAACTCTGCAGCCACCAGAGCGTAGAACTCCAAGGTGGGACCCAGACCAGTTCCCTCTTCACCCTGGAACTCCACCTGAACACACACACACACACACACACACACACACACACACACGCACCCGCGCGCGCACACACACACACAATTCAGTTTCAGAAGGCAGATGAGACAGAGCTTCCAACACGTGTTCACTTCCTCTCCCACCTCCAGCACGGACTTCCTGTCGGCATGGATCTGCATGACTGACTCCGCCCACTCCATCATGGCATCTCCTCTGGGAACTTTGACCCTCTCGTGTTTGAGCCGGCCCACCCTGAACTCTCCAGGGTCGTCCCGTCGCACTGTGGTGGACGGCCGCGATCGCTCCATGGTAGCCTCGCGCCGGTTCTGGAGCCACACAATGGCCCTGTGTGAGAGTAGAGGGGACAAAGGTCAGGACATGGAGAGGACAGAACCGAGTCAAACTGGATGGGATTAGTTTCAGGGCGAGCAGATCTGGTCCTGTTGCCCCAGATCGCTGGTGGCCCTCTTGGTGGTTGCTATGGCGCCTGTCAGACTCACCTGGATGCTCCAAAGGCAGTGCAGGTGAAGTACAGCTGTCTGGTCTCAAAGGGGATGAGGAAGGGACATTTGGACGTGAGCTGTTCACACCAGTCAGGCAGCGCTCCGCTGGCCACAGCCAGAGGCTCCTGGCAACAAAACATCGATAGCATTCAGTTAGCTTAGCTTCAGAGGTCAGCATTATGACAGATACAACATATTTAATACCACATTAATGTTTTATAGAACTAGAAACATAAAAGGGGGATACATTAACATTAAATTCACAAGTTAATCTCACAAACATTTAGTACATTTCCATAAATAATCCTAGAACAGAAGCTGACCTCAATCTGCTGGAGGATCTTGGTAGTGATCTTCTTGCTGGTGAACTCCTCTGGTGATGCGTTGAACTGCAGCTCCTCAACATCTGGAAATTACAGGCAAAAACACAAAAAAAAAAAAAAAACATGAGGAAGAGGCGCAAATGCACATGCAGAATATTCCTGTTCCAACACTGAAACCTGTTCTAGCCTTTTTGCTGTATTTCTAAAAATCCTCCATAGTTTAGAATCAGGCAGCTCATGCCACATGATGGAAATGCAAAACTGTGATAAAGGATGAAATGACCCGTCCAGCAAGGAGGCGTGAATGTGTGGTCGTCGTACCTTCCTGCAGTGTGCGCACGTTGGAGACAGAGTCGCTCCCGATGATGTAGAGGATGCGCAGCAGCTGCAGGACGTCCTCCATGCCGCATGCGTTTTGGCTGCAACCGGCCTTGGCCTGCGCTGCCTCCCTGACCCAACCCAGGATCTCACTGCTCTGACTGACTGACAGCGAGCTCGGACTGAGCCCCCCGCAGCGACCCCCGACCCCTGTGCCCTGGTCCAAGAACTCCTGCAGACAAAAGCAGACCAGAGGGTCAGCATCACCTTCCTCATTTACGGTTCCAATTCTGTCTAAAGTGTAAAGGAAAGAGTTCGACTTGCCGTCTTTCTGCTGTCCTTCTCTTTATCAGAGTCTTTCAGTTCCCGGTACATTATCCTGCAGGGGGACACAGCAAAGACTGAAACATGTACAGTGTGAACACGTGAAGTGAGCTGTGGTCAGGTTCTGGGGGTCTCCTCTCTTACGTGTAGGTGGGCTCCCAGATGCGCCGCAACTTATCCGTCTTCACAGAGCCGTTGCAGGAGAGCTGCAGAAGCCGTTGCACATAGTAGAAGATGGTCAACTTGTAGCTGGACAGAGGAAGCTCAACCTCTCTAGTTGTACCAAGGCCGGGAACCTGGACACACACATATATATTTAAGAATCCCAATTCACATTTACTACAATTGATTTAAGATGTCCCAAAAATAGGTGTCAATTAAAAATGTATTAGATTGTCTATACATGATTTTCAAATAAAACTGGAGTAATTGATTACAGATCCAATAATTAATTATATTAACATTTTTAATGGAGTCCCACCACAACTATGGGAAGTTAACAGACGCTCTGGAGAGGTGGGAAGAGAATTTTACTCAAGAGTAATGATACTTCATAACTGCAAAAGTAAAAAGTACAGCACAATAAAAATACTCCTAAAGTAAATGTTTTCCAAAAAGTTCCTCCAGTAAATGTGAGTAAATGTAGCTGGTTACTCGTCTTCATGACTAACCTTTAGAGTCAGAGCGAGGTGAGGAGAAGGAGCACACTCCACCTCCTCCCGGGCCTCGGATCGAGGCGTTCCTGCACCAAAACAGAACCAGCTCCAGTCAAATATTCTGTTCTCTGAATTCAACAAAGTCTGACATGATCTTACAGGCAGATACAGGACCCAAAAGAATAAATAAACAGCTTGTATATAGTTGATGGAACCAGTACTGCTTTTGAAGTTCTTCATCTTACTTTGACTCATTTCAATACGATTATCAAACAGTTATGACAATTTTACTTATTTGCAGTTACTTTTAAAATATTTACTAAAGTTAAAGTTAGTTAGATGAAAAATTTCAGCTAGCTTTAGATTTGCTACATCAGCAGCGTACCAGGGGAGGGGATCTCCAGGTCGGTGGTCTGTTGAACATTAGTTCTTCCAGGTCGGGGGTCAAACGCAGGGACCAAAGCAGAAAACTGCCTTTTGAGTACAAAATCATCGTCCCACGTTCTCCTGCGTCCTCCTTTCGTCTCATACTCTTCCTCTTCCTACAACAGAATATACATTCGTTCCACAGTCTGACATCAACACAGCAGCAGCAAAAACAAAACTACTACAGGAAGGAGTCAGACCTGACGACACCACAAACAAAACTTTGACATACCAGGACCTCCTCATACTCCTGGTCCTCCTGATTGTCATCTTCATTTTCATCATCATCATCGTCGGGCTCGGGGAGGTCCTCCTCATCATCCAGCTCTGCCAGCAGTGTGTTGGCACGGCAACTGTCCAGGAAGTCTGCAGGTTGACAGAAACACAACTGACATGATTCCAGCTGGAGGACGGAGTGAAGACCCTCCCTGATCCTGATGACGGCTCCGCCTGGGCCGAAGGCCAGCCGGCTGCTGAACATCAAGCAGCGCTAAAATCTCCAACTTGATATGAGAATGTAGCTTGGGTTTGGCTCTTTGCGTGGTTTGAAGTTCTGTGCACCTGGAGTCATCCATGTTCTGCAGAGCACCGTCTGCTCCAGCACATTGGATCCATTCTTGTTGCATGTGTAACATAGCACAGGCATGGCTTCATTCACATGTGACCTTCACCTCTACATCTAAACCCCACACTACAACACAAGTTCCTTGCAGGGAATAATGAACATGCAGCATCACATTCCCTCTGATGGTGCTTCCTGCTGCTCTGCAGCTTTTAGCTTGTACTTAGTTTGGAGATTTGAGCAAATCTTGTTAGAATTTAACTCCATGGGATGAACAAACATCCACTGTCTTATTATTTAAGTTATTTAAGTGCCCAAAGGTCTGTATTATCATTATTATTATTATTGTTTTCATTGTCATTGTCAATTGCATCCTCTCTATCAGTTTGTCTAAAAATGCATCATCAATACCAAGTGTTTTTCCTCGATGTTAACCCAGGAATTCAGATTTAAAGACCAAAACAACTGAAACTAGAAATGCACCGATCCACTTCTTTTCACTTCCGATATCAATATCAGTGGTTTAGCA